AAGGCAAGGGAAACAAAAATAATATAAAAACAGGGAGGGGGACAAAACAGAAGAGACTTATAAATATGGAGAACAAACTGAGGGTTACTGGAGGGGATGTGGGAGGGGGGATGGGCTAAATGGGTAAGGGGCAGTAAGGAATCTACTCCTGAAATCATTGTTGCACTATATGCTAACTAATTTGGATGTAAGTTAAAAAAAAAATAAAATGAAATTATCAAATGAAAAAACAAACAAAAAACCAACAGCAGCATCAGAATTGTTTACTCAATGTTATTCACAGAACAATTCAGATTTTTCTAAGTCCAGAGCAAATAATTTATCAATTTGGAAAGCATTATTACCAACATCAGTATTTATTGGAATGAATGACTGATATATCTTCGGACACCTTTTCAACCCTGAACATATTAATTCAGCCTCTCTTTAGTAATTTACACGTAAGAGAGTCTCCTTTCACTAAGCAAAAGCATACCCACACATCTCCTAGAGTTCTGCCAAACTAAAAGAGCTGTCAGGGTAGTTGTGGCATTCATATCTTTTTTCCAAAAGTCCAGGGATCCCATGCCTTGTTGGTGGACACAGTTCACTTTCAACTCAATTAGAGCTTTCTGAAATAAAGTCATACTCATGGGGCAAACACTTGAAAATGCAGTTATACCCTGTGGACATCCCAAAAGAAGCCATATAAACTTAAAGTCTGATTTGTTCCCAAGAATAAAACCTGAACAAAATAAAAAACAAGAACATCTTTAGAAAGTATGACCCCATTTCTACCAAAGCTTTGAATTTCTTCAAAAACCTACGATTCTAGGACTGGAAATAATTTAGTCTGGACACCTGGATTTCTTAGAACAAATTAAAGATATTCCATTTTATTTTTCTTTCATTGTTCAATTCCAATGTAAACAGATGGTTCATCAAATCAGTAAGAAAGTATGATCCTGTGAGCCCCCAGAGTCCTAAAGTTGGGTTTTCCTATGCTTTTTAATTCCAGAAAGTCCTCGATCTGAAGAAGCAGTTCCATAAACCTACTGAAATAAAACAAAACTAAAATCCCTATAACCCAGTTTCTTCCAAAGAGTCCGTCAACAAGGAAATATTAAGGGCTACAATGTGAAGAAAATTCATAATCTTTGCCATTTCCTCCATCATATCAAGAAAACAAACTCGAGGGGCACCTGGGTGGCTCAGTCCATTAAACGTCCGACATTGGCTCAGGTCATGATCTCACAGTTCGTGGGTTTGAGCCTTGTGCATCAGGCTGTGGTGCACTGATAGGTCAGAGCCTGGGGCCTGCTTCGAATTCTGTGTCCCCCTCTCTCTCTGCCTCTCCCCAACTTGTGCTCTCTCTGTCTCAAAAATAAGTAAATAAACTTAAAAAACTAATTAATTAATTAAAAATCTTTAAAAATAAAGAAATCAAACTTGACTTGTAAAATTCAAAACTTAGCACAATCTCTCCTTAGCAGAGCAACTTTTAAGTTCTGCCTTAACTAATTCCAAACATTTTTCCTTCATAAGTGCAGTCTCAACTGTGACCAATATACATACTTTTTCACATTTCACCCCAACTCCCCAAATCCCTTTTTGGCATATAGTTATTAGGATCTGTTATAGCTATATCCCAACATTAGCACTAATTAGGTGAAAATGTTTCATTAGAAATATCAGGTAGGATTCACAGAAAGGTCAGACCGACTCTATCTGGCCTGAAAGTTTTTGTGGGGAAGTTCATGGTACATGCATAAGGCTTTATTCTAACTAGTTTCCTTTGTCTTCTATTACGTCTAGTCTAACCAGTGGCCTTTCTGCTAGCTTTGCTCTAGCCAAGTGACAAGGATTCCAATAACCTGGAAAGAGAAAATGTAAAACCTCAAATCTCTTGATGCCAAAAAGAAGCTCATGTTTTAAAACTAACAATTTAGAGCAACTTTCATCTCAGAAGATAAGGGAAATGTTTTATCTCTATATCGTATCTATAATGTAGTTAAACTTCGATTAATAAAAATCAATTGGGAATAAGATGTTTTGTTTAAACCTTAAGCAGATCTTTCAAGTGTTATTTTTTTAATCCAAAATCAATTAGTTTATTTCCATACCTCATTAAGATTTGTCTTAGATATAATGTAATCAATCACTGAACATATAATTCTAGATGTTATTTCATGTACTAATCTTCAAGGTTAGATAAATATATTTTTAAGATTTTTAAGATTTTTAAGATTAATTATTTAAGATTAGATAAATCTTAAAACTGGAAAGCAGAAAAAAATCTAGCTAACAAAAAATGTATTGAAGCTACTGATTATTAAATATCATTTCAAGGGGCACCTGGGTGGCTCAGTCGGTTGAGCATCCGACTTCGGCTCAGGTCATGATCTCACAGCTCATGAGTTCGAGCCCCGCATCGGGCTCTGTGCTGATAGCTCAGAGCCTGGAGCCCACTTCGGATTCTGTGTCTCCCTCTCTCTGTCCCTAACCCACTCGCATTCTGTCTCTGTCTCTCTCAAAAATAAACATTAAAGGGGCGCCTGGGTGGCGCAGTCGGTTAAGCGTCCGACTTCAGCCAGGTCACGATCTCACGGTCCGTGAGTTCGAGCCCCACGTCGGGCTCTGGGCTGATGGCTCAGAGCCTGGAGCCTGTTTCCGATTCTGTGTCTCCCTCTCTCTCTGCCCCTCCCCCATTCATGCTCTGTCTCTCTCTGTCCCAAAAATAAATAAACGTTTAAAAAATAAATAAATAAATAAATAAAATAAACATTAAATAAATAAATAAATAAATAATCATTTCAAGACATAAATGCAAAACAAAACAACATACCTGATTGAAAGATGAATCACTATCAGAGCAATTGTCTGTGCAGTAACTGTTGCTCTTCTCCTTCTGGATTTTTTTCTGACTCTCTTGACTCCGTACCTCATCTTCTTCAAACTTGTTAATCATAGATTCCACCACTACCATCATGATGTTCTTCAGGGAATGCATCATTTCTTTGTATCTTTAAATTCAAAGCAGTCTTGGTAAGAAAAAGACTATTAGCACAAATTAAAACGCTCAGCTCAATTAAACTATCTTATTATTTTTTCTGTAAAGTCCCTTTAAAAGCACAATTTTAAAGAAAAAAAATGCAAGTCAGTTTTTCTTAAGGAACAAATGGCACAACAATTCATACAACAGAAATAAAAATTAATAGGAAATATAAAACATGTGTTATTCCCCAGGTTTCTTCATCTGATTACATGGACCAAGATAGTAAAATTAACAGAATCTAAGGCAAGATGTTCCAATGGTACGGATACCAGTAATTAGCAACAGTCAACTGTTATTATCATACTATCAAAACAGTCTATTTTACATGTCACTTTTATTCTTTGTTTTATTTCTACCCCTTTCTCTATTTTCCTCCCTTCCTCTATTTTCTTTCCTTCCCTTTTCCCTGCCTATACTTTATATCTATAGGCACCTATAGCCACCATTGAGACCTAAATAAGAGTTAAGCTATCAGTGGGTCCTTCAAAACAGAGACTAAAAAACCCACTGTCAGTAATGTTAAAAAAGGGATTCCTGAAATAGGTAAGAGTTTGAAACGGATGGCTTCTAAATCCCTTTTAGCTCCATGGGTCTGAAAATCTCAGAAAGAACTTATAAATAAATTTCTCTACTTATTAAGTGCAAACTCTCAAGCATCCACATTAATATTAGATTGAGATGCCCAAAACCCTAGAAATAGAATTTTAGAGCTAGATGAAACTATAAAAAAAAAAAAATCTAATCTAACCCTTTATTTTACAAATGAGGAATATGTGACCTGGACCATTGAAATTTCTACATTTAAAACAAAAAAGCCGTAAATATTTAAGTAAACATAGTGAATACAATACTAAATTTGGAATCAGAAAACCTGGATTACAATCCTGATGACTTTACATACCAGATTTGTCATCCCAGGTAAGTTTCATTTTCCTCAGTTATAAAATGTGACAAAAAGAATACAATCTAGCTGACCTATTTCACTTAGCTGTAGCAAAACATAAGAGTATGTATCTGAAAGTTCTTTGTAAATATAAAGTATGATACATATATTTATCATTTAATAATGAAAATACTTGAGGAAAATAGGCACAGAAACTTCCTCTTTCTTTATATTTCTGGTATATGGGTCATTGTAACTCCACAAATCAAAGGAAGAATAGGTGAGTTATTCTCATATTAAAGGATAAAACCATGCTGGGGGATTTGGATAGAAGACTAAGATTTTAAAATTTAGGGGCGCCTGGGTGGCGCAGTCGGTTAAGCGTCCGACTTCAACCAGGTCACGATCTCGTGGTCTGTGAGTTCGAGCCCCGCGTCAGGCTCTGGGCTGATGGCTCAGAGCCTGGAGCCTGTTTCCGATTCTGTGTCTCCCTCTCTCTCTGCCCCTCCCCCATTCATGCTCTGTCTATCTCTGTCCCAAAAATAAATAAACGTTGAAAAACAAATTTTTTTAAATAAAAAAAAAAAAAAATTTAAAGGAGTTTTACGATCTATTTTAAATTATATGATACAAATTACATATTAAACATACGTAATTCTATACATAACTTAAAATATATTCTCATACATTTAATGATTTAGCAACATAATTTATGTAATATAGAACTAGAAGCAAATTTAATATAATACATAGTTATAGATGTATAGATTTTCAAAGCACCAGAAACTGAGAAAACACAAAAATATTAAATTAGATGGTAATAATTAGAAACAATATAGGAAGAAAACATGTACAGAAGAGAACTGTTACAGAGGTAAGAAAGAGTCCAGGGAAGATCCAAGTTTGAGGTAAGAGGATACAAAGAGCAAGAAAGAATCCTAAGACACTCATTAGACTAATTGGCAAAGTAGCTATAGGATAACAGAGAAGAGGCTCCAGCTTTCTCCTCTACACATTCTCAGCAGCAAGAAATAGGGAAACATAACAATGCCCTGGGAGCAATCAAGACCTATCCATCAAAAGCTGCTCTCTTCTTCCACAGTAAGTGGATTATAGCTGGACACAAGTCTAAACTACAGTCCCCAGACTCCTTTGCAGTTAGGTATAGCCATGTAAACGAGAGAAGTCCTGTCCCCTTAAAAATTACATACAATATGGTAATTTAATGAAGACATATAAAAGTAAAATCTCAATGATGTATAAGGTAAGATTAAGGGTAAGTAAAATCCACAGAAAATCTTTAAGTTTCATTTTAGACATGTTTCCTCCAGACCTGTTTGAAAATACCAACATGAATTCTTCTGCAAGAAGTATCAGCAAACTGTCCAGAGAAAAAAATAAGAATAATTCTTTTTATTCTTTTTAAAAATTTTAAGTAATCTCTCCACCAACATGGGGCTCAAACTCACAACCAAGAACTAGAATCACATGCTCTACCAACTGAGCCAGCCAGGCACCCCAAGAATAATAATTCTTAAGATTTAAACATCAAAAACAAACAAAAAAGCTAGAGAACCAGACCCTAAATATCAAATGAACTATATACTTAAATAGTAGCCACTGTTTAAGTTTTGGCCGTTTTGAAAACGCCAAAGAAAAACAAACACAGGATGGACTATGAACACTATTAAGAAGCCTCATTCAATACTCCAAGAAGTCAAAATAAGAAAAAGTTCTAAGAGGTAATGAATAAAAACCACATCAACTAACCCTGCAAATTTTACATGGTGAGTAGTTCTTACATATATGAGGAACCGATGATAGACCCTACAAATGAATTCTTTATTCTGTAAAACTCTATTTAAAAAATAAATATCGAGGAACCCAGGTGGCTCAGTTGGTTGACTGTCTGACTCTTGGTTTTCAGCTCAGATCATGATCCCAGGGTCGTAGGACTGAGCCCTGCGTAGGGCTCTGCACTAAACATGGAGCCTGCTTAATATTTTCTCTCTCTCCCTCTCCCTCTCTCTCTCTCTCTCTCTCTCTCCCGTTTGTGCTCTCTAATAAAAATAAATAAATATCAAAATGTTTAAGAAAATAATCTGTAATTATTACAGTAAAAATGCTGTTAATAAAAGTACTGTTGACTAATCATCAGTCCTAGGTAATTTCTGAAGAATCTCTCACACACACACACATACACAAGAAAGAAAACAAAAGAGAAGAAGGAAGGAAGGAAGGAAGGAAGGAAGGAAGGAAGGAAGGAAGGAAGGAAGGAAAAAAAGAAAGGAAGAAAGAAAGAAAGAAAGAAAGAAGAAAGAAAGAAAGAAAGAAAGAAAGAAAGAAAGAAAGAAAGAAAGAAAGAAAGAAAATAATACTCTGCACAACTGAAAATCTTTCATCTATGGTTCACAAAGCAGAAGACAAACATTCATTAAGATATTTAACATCTTTATGAGGTAATTATTATTGTTTTAATTTTTACACATGGATGAACTAAAACACAAGAAAATTAAATGACTTACCCAGAGATAAAAAAATAATTTCCTAATAGTCCCATATAAAACTTTGCTTTTAATATGAAAATTCTTTCATTCTCTAATAAAATATTTTAATACTCCTTTTAGAGTAAGTTTTATAGTACTAACAGAAATAGATTATTAGAAATTATATTATCCAAAAATGAAGATGACTCTAGTGTTTGTTTTTTCTGCAAATCAAGAATTAGGAAATCTTGATCTGAATGGCTTTTACTTAATATATCTTAGTGCTTTGAACTTTATTAATTTATTGATAGGCATACACTGTTGCTTTGTTCAATAACAGATTTGTTTAGATAATATAATCAGTTGTCACAAAGAGAAAGAGGTTCTGTCCAATGTCATAAAGAGTTTAACTATTTAAAAATAAATCGTATTGGGGCGCCTGGGTGGCGCAGTCGGTTAAGCGTCCGACTTCAGCCAGGTCACGATCTCGCGGTCCGTGAGTTCGAGCCCCGCGTCGGGCTCTGGGCTGATGGCTCGGAGCCTGGAGCCTGTTTCCGATTCTGTGTCTCCCTCTCTCTCTGCCCCTCCCCCGTTCATGCTCTGTCTCTCTCTGTCCCAAAAATAAATAAACGTTGAAAAAA